GGGCGGGGCTTTCCCAAGCCTGCCAGTCCCAGGACGAGCTTTTCCAAGCCTGCCAGTCTCTGCTCCAGCTATCCTCGTAGCTGTCGTTCTGCCAGCCCATGGCTTTTCCAAGCCAGCTGGAGAGCTGGCTTTTCCAAGCCTGTCGAGGCTGCCGAAGCCTCCAGCAGCTACAAGCTTTTCCAAGCCTGCAGCTCTTCGGCTACAGGCTTTTCCAAGCCGTGAGCCGGGACTATGGCTCAAAACTACGGCTGCTGGCTACGACTGCTAGCCTACAACCTATACTGTGTCTGCGACTGTGCTGCTATAGGCCTAAGGAACCCCAAGAAGGGAGGGCCCTACCGGCGGCCCTAGCAGGACCTAAAGCGGCACTACAACCTGAAGGTAGACTTGAACCCCCACACCCCCAGGCTAAAAACCCGGCCTGAAGTAGAGAGACAGTTATAAAGCCCCGGCCTATTATACCCTAAACCCCACAATCTATATATATATATATATATATATATATATATATATCACATATAGACCCCCAAGGTCTTTCAAGAAACCCAGTTGCTTCTCTCTGTGAAAGTGTTCTGTCTGTGTGCTCTGCTGTGTCATGCTGTCCTGCATGGTCCATGCATGCATGCTCGGAGCCTCGCACTGCCGTGTATATATATATATATATATATATATATATATATATATACATGCACACGTTCCAAAAAATGCCAACATGCGAAAACGTACATGCAAGAGACGAAAATCAAGCTCCATGTCTCAATTTTTCGCAGCCAGGAGGCCGAGAAAGTCGAAAGCGGTCGGCCTACCCCTAAAAACTTTTCCAAGTTTCTGCAGGACCTACAGAGGCCAGGCTTTTCCAAGCGGGCCACCACAGTAGCGAACGAAAGAACGAAGCGGCAGCTAGTGTTTTTCCAAACACGTCCTTCAGCAGCCATGTTGGCTGCAGAGGTGCTCACGGAGGTCCCTGGCCTCCTCCTTAGTGAGGTGCTCCTTTTCCAAGGTTGCTTTGATTTCGTCGATGATGCCTTCGAAGGCAGGGCATCTCGACTGCGACACCTCAATAATAAGCCGCATTTTCTCGCCAACCTCTGTCCTGCCAAGCAAGTAGGCCCTGCGAGGGTTGCTGGCATTCGTTTTTGTGATGGCAAGCCATGGCTTCCGCTTTGGCTTTTCCAAGCCTTTTGGCTTTTCCAAGCCTTTTGGCTTTTCCAAGCCTTTTGCCGCCACGGCTTTTGCCTTTCCCTTGGCTTTCGGGGAGGCCTTTGCCTTCGCCTTCGCTTTCGCCTTCGCTTTGGCCGCTGGGGCGGCTTTCGCTTTGCCTTTAGCCTTGGCTTTCGCTTTCGGCGAAGCCTTTGGCTCGGCAGCTTCTGCCTCAGCCGCCTCTGCTTTCCCAAGCAGCTTCCTCTTCTTCTTCTTTCGTTTCTTCTTTTTGTTCTCCTCGGCAGGGGCTGAGTAGCCCAGGAGCTCAGAAAGGTTCTCCTGCTTTGCCGGAACCCTGCTCCCGGCTCTTTTCCTGGAGACCAGGTCCGGCTCAAAGGGGACAAGTGCCAAACTCGACGATGGCTTTTCCAAGCCAACCCCGGGGTCCTTGGACGAAGAGCTGGGCTCTCCTCGCTGCTTCTTCGAGGCTGGGGGGCTGTCGAACATTCGTGGCAGGCCGAAGCTGTTGAGCGACACGTCGTCGCTGTCCCGCTTCTTAAGCTTCCTGGGTGTCTTTTCCAAGTCTCTGCTTTTGCCAGGCCCCGACTTTCCCAAGTCCGGCTGGGCGGACGAGGGCTTTTCCAAGCTTTCCTCGTCTTTAAGGGTGAGCAACTGCATGCTGGAACTCCTGTCTGCTGAGCTTGGCTGCTGCCTTTCCCAAGGCGCCTTCTCCATCTCGCTTTATCTTGCGAAGATGGGTCAACAGACAGTTGATCCTTTCCACCCTTAGCCCAACCCACACCTGTCCGCTGCAATCCGAGGAATTGAGCGACGGACAGTGTGCAAGGAGCGACAGCAGAGCCGCCCTGAGGGGCTGGGCATGGACCTCCCCACTTGGAGAAACCTTCAAAAGGTTTCTCCACAGGTCCGCCAGGCCCACCAGGGCTTTCCAGTCCGGGGCCTGGCTGCTGCTTATCCGCTCGTAAGCGCCCATGTCGGCGACCATGGGCTGATAGAGCTTCAGGGCCGTATAAAGGACCCCGGAGTCTATCATGGGCTTCGGACTATGCCTTGCCCCGCCCCTGCCCATCTTTCCCAAGTGGACAGCTTAAGCTTTCCCAAGCTTCGCCGAACCGGTTTTCCCAAACCGATGAAGTAACAGTTGGGCTTTCGCAATCCAGGCTTTCCCAAGCCTATATTTTCCGAAGAGAACCAAAAAACCTGCTGTTGCAGGTGAAACTTTCGCAGGAAGGCCAGGGGAGGAAGGCGACTACCTACCTACTTTCGCTGCCTACTCTGCCTGCTCTGGCTGCTCTGCTGCCTGCATGGTGCTGTACTGCTGCTGCCGGCCTGCTGACCGATCTGGTTTAAGGTTTGTAGAGTGCTGTGCCTACCCAAACATATGCTTTTGCCTGGTGGACTGCTTCTGAACTGTACACTCTCGCTGGGAGCACGGCGGGCAGCGGCGGGCATGCAATTCGATCACTCCAAAAACATGCACTGCAGCACATGATATGCCAAATCAATCGCATTATGCATGCTTTTCCAAGCATGCACATCCATCATGAAAATGCCATGAAAATCATATATGAGAATCAATATGAGAATCAATATGCGAATCAATATGCTAATCAATATGCTAATCAATATGCTAATCAATATGCTAATCAATATGCTAATCAATATGCTAATCAATATGTCGTTTTTTTTGCATATTGATTTTTGGCGCTGCGCCAAAAATCAATATCTGTTTGCGAAATTGATTGATTGTAATCAATATGGGATGCTCAGGGAATGTTCGCTCCAAACTGGCACACAAGCCTTTTGCTAGTGAGTGTTCGTCCCCCTCTGACAAGTGGCGGTCAGCGTGCGGCCTTTGGAAGTACGGGAAAGCAAGCTGCCAGAGGAATGCAACCCTTTTGCCAGGTTTTCGCTACTGTCGCGTTTGCTTTCCTGAGGAGAGTTCTGTCGCTGAAGTTCTGCAGTCTCAAGCACAAGCCCCCGAGGGATCTGAATCATCGTCAGATTCATCGGATTAGGTCGGCCGAGATGGCGGCGCCGGCGTCCTTCGACGAGTTGTGTGACAAGGCCGCAGTGCACCCGACAGTTCGCTTGCTTTTCAAGGCCAGAGGGGTGGACGTCCCGGGAGTGATACACCACCTCTTTTCGGACCGCTCTAAGATCCAGGCGTTCTTGGACCCGCTGAGGGCAGGCGTCGAGTTGGCAGGAGACACAAAGAGGAGGTCGGCCGACGAACTGTTGATCGATCAGGCCACCGTCCTCGAACTACTGGACGTCATAGCGCCGACGAAAACAGCAGCCTCTCCAGCCGCCCCGGTCGCACCGGCAGCGTCTACCACGTCAACGAGTTCGTCTGACAAGCCCCAGGATCTACCGGCCGGCTACTGGAACGACTTCGTGACCGAGTACGAGGCCGCGGTGGTCGACGGTAGGAACCGCAAGTTCCCGGCCCACTTGTTGGTCGGATCCGAGAAGACCTTGGGCCGTATGGTCGCGGAGAAGAAATCGGGGCTCTACACGGCGTTGGCCTTGGGAGAGATTCTCTTTTCGCGCCACTTCACGGCATCCAAGCAGGTGAACCCTTTCTCGTCTACAACGAAGCCGGAGACCTCCACCAAGCTGTTCGCATCCGAGGACGGCACCCTCTCCAAGGTCGCAAAGACGATGCCAGAGCCCCAAAGGCTTGTCACTATGTTGGATGCGTTCGAGGCCTGCAAGTTCGCGTTTATGTTTGCACGCTGGGGCCCAAACCCGGAGGTCGCAGACTACTTCGGCGCCCGACCCCTTAATCCCTGGAACCAGGTTAGGTCCGCAGGTGCCGAGTCGTTGCAGCACCCAGGTGCATGCCACACAGCGTCAGGTCGCGCCTAGCCAGCTTCCGAGCCGTGTACAGCACACCACCTTTCCCACCTGCTCCTCCTCCCTCAGGCCGCACTCAAGGCACAGGCATAGGCGACCCCCCAACTTCCACCCGTACGGCTGTCGTGCTCACCCCCAACTCTGCAACACAGGCGTCGATGTCTCACGTGACTCCGCCTCCGCACCGCGCACAGCATGCGTCGCAGCCTCACGTGGCTCCGCAGCACACGCCAACCCTGCAGGCGTCGCAGCCTCATGTGGCTCCGCCGAGCTCTACTCCTCCGACACCCACGAACGCCACACAGCCTCAGTCACAACAACCTCGCTTCCCGGTCGCAGTTCTCAGCTTCTTCGATGGCATAGCAACGGCTCTACACGCAGTGAAGAGCTGGTCCATCAGGCCAGTCCTCGCTTGGTCGTGGGAGCTTGACCCGGAGGCCACCAAGGTCGCGTCGTCGCAGCACCCCGAGATGGTCCACCATGGCGATGTGTTCGGCCGCAAGCCTCAGGAGGTACTTGCCGCTCTCTCGGCTTCAGTTTTTTGAAGGACACTGTGGTCCTGCTGTTCGCCGCCCCACCTTGCCACGATTTTTCCAGGATCCGGAGCGATCCCCCAGGTACGCAAGGCCAAGAAGGCTCTAAGTTCACTAAGTTCGCCGACTGGCTTAAGAACTTCGTTCGGTCGTCCAGCTTTCGGGTGTTGTTCCTCGTGGAAAACGTGTACATGTCAGCCTCGCAACAGCAGGAACTCGACAGGGCCTTAGAGTGCAGGGCGTTCGCATGCGATGCCGCGAGCTGGGGTGTCGTGTCGCGACCTAGACTCTGGTGGTCGAACGTGGTTTCCCCTCCACTGGAAAACGTTCGCGAACCACCTGCCAAACTGGGAGGACAGGCACGCTGGCGCAGACTGAACAGACACTGGGAGATCATCCCCAACAGCACTCTGTTTCCTCGACAGGTCGCACAGTCGTGCCCGTTTGCGACCTTCAGTGAAGAAGTCACATCGGGGCGCATTAGGTTCCCTTGTTTAACAACACCTGCTGAGACCGCCCAGGGTCGCGAGCCACCGGGGAAGAAACGCCGCTCCGAAAGCCCCGGAACCGTGGAGCGCTGGAAGGCATCCAATCGCTCATACCCTCCCTGGCAGTTCCGCAAACCAGGTCGCAGGTAAAACTGACTTACCCGACCCGGCCACGCGTGAGTGGCTTCAACTTCTTCCTAGCGGTTACACAGCGTCAGTCTCTCCACATGCCAGAGCCAGACTACTAGGAAACGCGTGGCACGCGGGAGTCGCCCGACTCCTCGTGCTCTTGGTTCTGTGTCAGGCAGGCATCATCGATGCACACCCAGTTCGCGCGGAGGAGTGGTACCCAAGAGTGCCGGACCCATGCTTCCAGGGCCGCTGGCACCCAGACGGGAGTCGCCCTTTGCAGCGGGTCGCCTCTTGGTGGCTACGCCCATCCCTCCGCTGGGACCCCAACGAGACACAGCCAGGCGAGCTCAGGTCACCAGGCGCCGGTGCAGCAGCCCATTTCCAGTGGGCACAACAGTTGACGACGTGTTCCCGGCTCCCCTCAATCCATGCCTAGCATGGACTTTCCAGGTGCAAGCCAGGTTAGGTCTCAAGGTCGCGCAGGTTCGCGAGTCAGTCCTTCAGGACCTTAGAGCACTGGTCGAAGAACTCCAAGAGGACCAGGCCGAAGCACTGCAAGCCCTCCCTGCACACGTGGCCGCAGTTTACAAACAAGGTTCGCCACAACTTCGGTTCCAACTTCTGCCTTTGGCTTGGCTCCTCGAGCTTTGCCAGTTCCCGGGTCGCAAAGAGTTCGTCACCGAGTTGTTCTGGGGTTTTCGGTTACTAGGCCCGGTAGTTCGGGGTTCGGGGTGGCTCAACCGCGACGATGCCAAGTACGCGCGTCCACTCTCCAAGCCAGACTTCTTGGTCGCTAACAGACAGCTTGCGGTGACCTTACGTGAACCCTCCGCTCAGCCTGAACACCACGATGCCATGATCACCGAGCTCAAGAAAGAGCGCGGGCTGGGGAGGGTTCAAGGCCCACTCCCCCTCTCTCTCTTAGGCACTGGGCAGGAGCCAGCGTCTGTGCAGGTCGCACGAGGTTTTGCTGTCGTTCAAAACGACAAAGTTCGTCGGGCCGACGATTGGCTCAGGTCGATGCACAACAGCACGGTCTCTGCAGTTGACACCCCACCGTATCTGGGCGGCCCTACGGTCGTAGGCGGAGTTTTGCAGTGCTCAGAGACGTTCGCCGAGCCAGTGCTTTTGGGCGCCATCGACCACGAAGGTGCATACAGGTCGCTACCTGTGCGCGAGCCCACGGAGTGTGGCTTGGTTATGCCAGGAGTGTCCCCGAGCCTCTGGTCGCACAATGCCCTTCCTTTCGGGTCGGTGGGCTCCGTTTGGGCATACCTTCGGGTCGCAGAGGTGGTCTCGTTTCTGACCATCACGTTGCTCCTGATGTTCGCTGCTCACTACGTCGACGACTTCTTCTCGTTGGAACGCTCCAGGACGGCACTGTCGGGGTTCGCCGTGTTTCAAGCGTTCCACAGGGTACTGGGTTTTCGCATGAAGGAGGAGAAGTCCAAAGAACCTCGGCTCGAGCAGACTCTTTTGGGCATCGAATGGACAATTACGGCCACGGCCATTTTCGCCTCACCTGGGGCTCGCAGGGTCGCCAAGTTGATCACTACGATCAGCGACTTCCTGGCTTGTGGCCGCATGTCAGCTTCTGAGTGTTCGCAGCTCACAGGCAAACTGTGCTTTACCTGCACATGGGTTTTCAACAACGTAGGGAGCATGCTGCTACAGCCTCTCTACCACAGGCAACACAGTGGGTCTCCTGGCTCGAGTCCGCTGACTCCCAGGATGCAGCAAGCACTACACCAGCTGCGAGACCTTTTGCCGAGGTTGCAACCCAGACGGTTCGCGATAGACCCACACGAGCGCAGACAGCCGGTCGCGCACGTCTATGCGGATGCCTTTTTGACAGTACACGGAGTCCGCCGTGTAGCTAACAAGTGGTTGTCTGAGCTGCCACCACTCCAGGAGCTTAGTACGGCTACGAACGGCTTCGGCGCGATCGTGGCCTTACCAGGTCGCCGCCCTGTGGGCTTCAGAGGCGAAGTACCAGCAACAGTGCTGGCCAACCTGGCCGCGTCCAGGGCATATATATTTTGGTTGGAGGCGCTAGCACAGCTAGTGTCGCTGGCCGTCGTTTGTGACCTGGTCAACACTCACGTGTGTTGTTGGATAGACAATACAGCGGCCGAGCACGCGCTCAACAAAGGATACTCGAAAGATCTCAGACTCTCGGCGATTATTGGAGCTTTTTGGGTTTGGGCCGCTTCTAGGTCGCTTTCAGTTTCCTTTCACAGAGTCTCAAGCGAAGAGAACATCTCCGATGGCATTTCTAGGGGGGATCTCAGCGATCTACAGTCCGCCCACGGAAAGTTCTACGAGATCTCCTTCAAGGAAGTCTGGTCGCGCTTAGAACACTTCCGAGACGACTGCCGGAGCTACCAGGACGAGTTCGCTCAGCTGGTCGCGATCCTCTCGACCCAACTTCGCTGACGCGCACGAGGGTGGCTTCACAGTGCGCTGAAGGTGGTTAGTTCGTTGCGCCTCCTGTGAAGCTCTTTCGTTTCGGAACTTTACAGTTCGAGGTCGCAGCGAGCTTGCGACCGAGTTAGCCACCGTCCGGAAGGGAAGAGTGGACAAAAGAGTTCGTCCGTGCGTCTGCACTCAAGCTTGTGAAGCCTAGCTTGTCGTGCAGAACACGTGTGTTCGTAGTGACAAGCGTAGCGAGAACTTTCCGAGCATAACGTTCGCAGCCCGCGCAGCGAAGGCCCGAGGAAAGTGCGAGCGTTAGAGCTTTTTCGCTTTTCCCACCTCTCCCACCCGGAAGTACAGAGTCCGGTTAGCTCGTTGCGCCTCCTGTGAAGCTTTTTCGTTTCGGAACTTTACAGTTCGAGGTCGCAGCGAGCTTGCGACCGAGTTAGCCACCGTCCGGAAGGGAAGAGTGGACAAAAGAGTTCGTCCGTGCGTCTGCACTCAAGCTTGTGAAGCCTAGCTTGTCAGCGGTATGCCGCGACACGGGTGTCATGTCTGCTGCAAATTGTGCCGGGCAGGCCCGCGTCTGTTGTGGACTTCGAGAAGAAGAGCAAACGGCGCAGGCGCAGAGCGCCAGATGCCCCCCGCACCGTAACCTTTAGAGACGATACCGAGCAAAAGATCCACGAGTGCTTCTCGACCGGTTTAACATTATAGGCTCAGTGTTATCCGCGAATCTTTCAGGCGGAGCATCCTGAATCCTGTACGAGTCTGCTAGCTGCTTTCCTTCTCAGGTCGGCACTGGTGCAAGGCCTTCGCCCAGCGCAAAACCCATTGTGCAGAAAGCCGCGCTCAATGCACTGTTGACAAGAATCTCCAAAGTTTGCTTCGGCACTGCCTGAGTGCAGATAGGTCCGTTGCAACCTCCGCCCAACTCGTGGTCATGAACTATGCCTACAATGCCGCGCCTTCCGTGCAGCAACGTATTGCAGGAGCCACGTTGGAACTGATGGGCTCTCTCGTGCAGTCAGGCATTCAGGGCAATGAAGAGCACATATGGAGGTGCGTCCAGACTCTTGTGATCGTATTGCGCTCACTCAGCGTGCGTGAGCGTCAGAATTGCGTGTCCCTATTTGTCAAGCTGTTGCCGGACCCAGTCTTTCCAAAACGGAAAGTCCTGGAAAAGCTGAAGATGCTATGGATAGTCGACGACGATCCCAGGCGAACCTACGCAGATGCACTGCAGCAGCTGCGGATTGCCGCAAAGTCCACCACCGAAGCAGATGTGCAGCGCGAGCTGTACACACTCGTTTCCCTTGGCTGAAGCATGCCTCCAAGAGTCAATGCGTGTCAAAGAGGGCCGGGCGTTCTTGCTGTGCCTGCAATGACCTGCACCCTCGCTATGCATCATTATCATCAGCATCACCATTGTCACCATCATCAGCATCACCATTGTCACCAATACCAACATTACCAACAGCACAAGCACCGTCATCACCTGCCTTGCCATCGCCCCTACTACAGGCAGCATCAGCACCACTGTTTGCCCCCCATGATGATGATCATCATCATCATCCGCATCAGCATCAGCATCGCCATCGCCATCGTCATCCTCATCCTCATCCTCAGCATCATCATCATCATCAACATTGCCATTGTCATGGTTATTATCTTCGTTTTCTTCTTCGTCATGGCCATCTCATCCTAGACCTGATAGTCGCAGCATTGTGGATGGTGGAGACGCTTGATCCGCTTGAGCTTGGCTTTGCTGCGAAGCTCTAAGCCTGGGTTGGAGCCGTCGCCCATGGATCTGCTTCATGATGAGGCACGAGCAAAGGGCGACTCACATCACTTTCGCCATGCGACAAATGTGCGATGCCTTCGATTCAGCTTCATTCCTGGACCTAACACTTGTGACAGGGCTTGAGCACCGCCGTAGCCGCAGCCTCAGAGCTCTTTCGGCGAATGCAAACTGCAGCGCACATGTCGCGACAGGCTTTGTCCGACGAGGGCTCCAGCAGCTCTGACATCAGCCCCACGTCCAGATGGCTCAGATCCGAGGAGAGACCGTTACAGCCATGACTGCGACTATAGCTGTGGTGACTGCCGGTGCCACTTGTTGTGCTACTAATGTCTATGACTCTTGTCGTCCTCCCGCTGATCGTTTTCGTTTGGCGACGATTCCACTGTCTATCACTGTCTATTGCCATCAGTAGTGGTTGTTAGTAGTAGCTCACGACCAAGCTGCAGTCGTCCTCGGAGGAGGCTTTGCAGGAGATTGTGAGGTCCGTCAAACAATCCGCAAGACGAGGGGGGACGTCACCTCACCTGCAGCGGAATAGTCAGCAACATCACACCGAACTTGAACAGACAAGGCCCGACCAGAAACCCTCCCAACTGCGGCATGCCTGCTCTTCTGTCAGCACATGCCATGAGTTTGCTTTGCAATGCTGCGCGGTATCCGTGACAGGACCCCAGTGGCGTTGAGACTGTTGCTGCCTTGCAGGCACAGCGGCATGCCATGCGATCCTGGTGCATCATATTACGCATGTCATGCTTCTGCTTCATGTTCGAGATAAGGCTGAGGGCCAGGCATTGCAGTCCGAGACTTCTAGCACAACAGCTCGACAGCCACACCCGGTCCCTACGAACCTGCTCCAAGCTCGTTCCGCAGGCTTTCTAAAAGCATGTAGTAGTCGGCGTGCAAGCAGCGAAGCCTTCGAGGCATCACCGCTGCTATGTATGTATGTTGCATGACCACGAAGTATTCCAAAGCAATTGGCCTATAAAACTCAGAACCTCGCAAGAGCACCCCGTGGACACCCGCAATCGGTGAACTGACGTCCGCTTGCAAAGATGCCACATGTTCGCGAGCTCCGTGTCATCTTTCCGGCCAGACTCTTATGTCGGGGATCATCTCGCCTATGCCAAAGTCCCTCGTGGATGCCCTGTGACGCTGAAGGAGCCGCTCCTCCTGTGGGCGATGTTCGGCTCCCACCGGCCCACGCAGAACTAGGACTCACCCTGCGAAAGGAAACGGTGCAGGCCAAGCAAATGGTAGTGCCGGCCCCCGGCCACACACGATTCCATGCACTGGCCCGGGGTGCAGCACAATTGCGTGAGCCGGCACTTGCGCTCATCCACTCGGTGCCGATCCAAATGCCGTATGACGGGTACACCTTGCCAGTCGCCCTTTTGGAGGCCGTCGTCCACGAGACCATTTTTCATCTCAGATGGCGTCGACTGCTAGCCATCGTCGCTCGTCTCCTTTCCGGTTCCCCGACAGTCAAGACCTCCCGTGCCCGAGTTGGCGCTCACTAGTGGTCTCTTCGAAAACCGACTGTTCGGCTGCAATCCGCCAGGTCCAGGATCGCCCCTCGTACCCGGAATCTAGCACATACATACCCCAGGCCCTCACAGCCACCGTCATTGCGGAAGCAGGAACGCTGCATCCGTCCTGACCCCTTCCTCGCGAGGATTTTGCCGAGCCCCGCAAGCAGAACCCGGTTGGCATCTACTACCAGTGCGAAAATCAACCCCTCAGCGCATGATGGTACACGCGAGTCTTGCGTGTGCGAGGCTGAGGGGTTGACGCCGGCTTTCTGGCGTTCCCAGGCGATTGGGTGTTCGCGTTTCTGAGCCTGTTCATTTGCGTCCCGACCCTTTCTTGCCTCTCTTGCTGCCTCTTGCATTCGGCGTCTCAGGTCCCCAGAGGCTGGTTGAAACAGATATCTGATCAAAATGGAGCTCCCTACCGTCCGTCGCCGTGCCTAGACTGTGCAACTGCGACAGAAGGGCCAAGGCTTCAAGCAGACCCTCTTCTTTGCATGACGCCTCGGGCGCAGCAGTTTTCCAGTTGATTTTTTCTCCACGCAAGCCCACGCAACGTCCCGCGGGCTCCCAGCTGGGTGATGCGTTGCTTTGCTAGTCACGGAAAAGACCGGGAAAAGACGTGTGGCGGGAATGCTCGCATAAGTCTTTGTTCACCTTGCACGGGTGTGGAGCATCGATGGTCTACGTAGTCGTACATGCGGGTCACACAGCTGTACAAACGCCCGCCTCCTTCAAACTTTACCATGTGTTGGATCTTCTGCCTCGGTGACACGACGATGCCCCGATGATCTGGCCGCCCATCCCTCGTCGCTTGTCTTGAGCATACGGCATCGCCACGGCAAGGGTCGCCAAGCAAGACCTGCCAGACGCTCCAAAACAACAGGCGGGGAACGAAGCAGATGCTGTAGATGTATGTTTGCCACACAGTTTTGCAGCTTCACTGCCTTGGTTTCGGGCATAGGCTAACAAGCACTCTCACACTACTGCACGTCGGAGTCGATCTCCTCCTGTCAACCCGTCCATGCTGCTGTGCCGTTACGGACTTCTGCTGCAAGTAGTTTTCACAATTTTTTGGTTTGCCTGAGCAGAAGAATGTGCAGGGTTGCAGGATTACCCATGTTTACAACATTTGCATGGGGCAGAAGCCTGCTGTCAGTCTGTCCAGCGCCATGCACAGTGCCATCATGAGTGTCGCCTAGTGGCCGAGTGTCCGGCTGCAGGCGACAAACGATCAGCTCACGACCAAGCTGCAGTGCTCGGAAGAGGCTTTGCAGGAGAGCCGGAGCTGCGTCATACAATCCGGAAGATGGGGTGTCGAACAGCATACCACTCGCCTCCTGTCACGGATACCACACAGGACGCCAGGGCGAAGGCCTTGCAGCATGCTTGTGCAGAAGAGCAGGCATGCCGCAGTTGGGAGAACATGGAGAACCTTGTCTTTTCCAGTTCGGTGTGATGTTTGCTGACTATTTAATCTGCTGCAGGTGCAGATGAAGTACAGCGAGACCGTTGCAGCAGCTCAGGCCTTGCAGGCAGAGCGGCATGTCATACAAAACTGGTGCATCATGCTGAGTGTGTAGTGCTTGCAAGGATGCGAACGAAGCATTGCAGTCCCAGGTGGAAGAGCTTCAGACGCAGGCCATTCTTGTTTGCCGCCCGATTGTTGTTTGCGCAAGGTCATCTTGGAATTCTGTGCGATCAGGTGCAAGTAAAGCAGCGAAACCTCACGGCCGTATCACGATGCAGGTCCAGAGCCGTGAGAGAGAGCTCCGGGAATCTGTGCTCGCAGCGGAGAAACTGCAGGCAACTTGCTCCAGACTTCTGCACAAGGAGTTTTTACATGTTTGGTTTGCTTGAGCAGAAGAATCGGCAGCATTTCAGCCAGAAACAGATTTCGACGATGCTTCCTTCCATTTTGATCCACAGCTTTGTGTTTGGGGTGGCAGTGCCTAGCCAGACCAGAAATGACGTTAAGGAGCGTCGAGGAGCGTTGGTTGCAGGATCACCCATGTTCACAGCATGTGCATGGGGCAGCAGCCTACTGTCAGTCTGTCCAGCGCCATGCACAGTGCCATCATGAGTGTCGCCTAGTGGCCGAGTGTCCGGCTGCAGGCGACAAACGATCAGCTCACGACCAAGCTGCAGTGCTCGGAAGAGGCTTTGCAGGAGAGCCGGAGCTGCGTCATACAATCCGGAAGATGGGTGTTTGCCTCCGGCAACAACCTTTCAACACTAAGTAATAACAAGCACCAGCCAACAACAAGCAACAGAGCAACACACACGACACGCAAGCAGCAGCAGCAACAACAACAACAGCAAAAGCAGCAAGAATAGCAGCAAAACAGCAGCAACAACAGCAAGCAGCGACAATAACACCATTAACAACTCGAACAACAAGAACAATAGTCATAACAATAGCAACAACAATAAAAACATGATTAGCAATGGCAATTAACAGCAACCTAATAACAGTGATAACAGCAAGAACAACAACAACAGCAATAACAAACAAACAGCAACAACACGAGTTTCAACAGTAACAGCAGAGACAGTCGCAACGTCAATGACAATAGTGACAGCAGCATCAACACCAATGACAACAACAACAACGACAACGACAACGATAACAACATCATGCATCAACATCAACACAGCAGCAGCAGCGGCAGCAGCAGCAGCAGCAGCAGCAGCAGCAGCAGCAGCAGCAGCAACTGCAACAGCAACGGCAATACCAACAACCTCAACTCTCAACAACATGTTTTGGACGCTGAGCGATCAGGCTCTGTTCACAGCGGGCGAAGTGTATCTGCCGACAGCAACAACAGCAGCAACAGCAACAACAAGAACAATAAGACGGCAGCAAAAACCAACACCAACAGCAACAACAGTAGTAAGAGGCAGAAGAAGCAGGACAACAACAACAACAACAGCAACAACACAACAACAACGACCGAGGACCGAGATCATAAGAGCCACTGTGACAACAACAAC